TTCTTGTGCTGGGGGCCCCAGAGCTGAACGCAGCGCTCCAGGTGGGGTCTCACGAGAGCAGAGCAGAGGGGGAGAATCAGCTCTCTCACCCTGGTGCAGAACCTGGCACTTGGCCTTGTTGAATTTCATGAGGTTTGCACAGGCCCATCCCCCAAGCCTGTCCAGGTCCCTCTAGATGGCATCCTTTCCCTCCATTGTGTTGACCACACCACACAGCTTGGCATCATTGGCTAACTTGCTGATGGTGCACTCAATCCCACTGTCCATGTCACCAACAAACATGTCAAACCACGCCAATCCCAATAACAACCCCTGAGGAACATCACTTGTCACTGATCTCCACTCAAGACACTGAAACATTGAGCAACTCTTTGAGTGCGGCCTTCTAGTCAATTCCTTACCCACCAAGTAGCCTATCCATCAAATCCACATCTCTCCAAATTAGAGACAAGGACATCAAGTGGGAAATCTGGTGCCTCAGGTTTGTACATTTTTTTTGGCTCCAATCTCAGTGCATTGTTGAAGGAAAACAAGGATTTTCAACAAAATTCTTCTATTACAGATTTGTTAACAGCCCCCTCCCCCATGTTTATTTAAAATACCTTTTCTGCTTGAACTTTACAAAGACCGTTGCTGTTTATGTGGTACCGAATCCACAACAAATTTATATTTTGTCTTTACTTTGGCTAAAAAAAAGATAGCATTACTGGTGTGATGGATACACCTGTCATAATGACAATCACAGGTAGACCTACAGTCTCTGAGCATATAATATTTTTAATAATGCCCTCAAATAGCATATTGTGTAGACACAGGGTCTTTAGCACTGTTTGGCTCTACAAATCAATTCCTATTGCACTGTGCTACTCACTAATGTAGACAGCACTCATCACCTCAAGGCAATATATATATATACCCATACATGCACAAATACCCAAGCGCTGCCTCTACAATTTTTCTTAGCAAAGACAAGGCCCCACTGCCAAAAAGCACTTGGGGTTCTTCCAATCTGTAATGAATTAATGCTCCAAGAAATAGCAATTCATTTAATTACCTCTTACCTGGAAGATGATTTTCACTGACGCAGTATTTGAAAGTTTTTGACCAGTAAGGCTTGTAAAGACTAGCACTTCTGTGAGTCAGTGAGTTCAAACCTTGGGTCACAGGGCCCCTCTGCAAACACTTCTTGCTGGAAGAAAAAAAAAAAAAGAGTCATATTACTGTATCATGTTCTTGGTTTTCTTACCAGATAAAATTTCCTATTGATTTCATAACCATCTCTTTCCTCTGCTTTGTAGGCTTTGTTTTAAAACTGTGGGGGCGAATGCCCTTTTCTGAGCTACCATACAATTAGATGGCAAAACGAAATTATGTCTTTTACTGTTCAAATATAATTATCACACGCAAGTTTTGGAAATATGGTTAAGCATCAATATAAAGAAATCTGCCACAGTTGTACCATTCTTAGTTTTTTTGTTTTTTTGTTTTTAATAATTATCTTACTGTTTTTTTTAATTTTTTTAAAGTTTCATGAAGGTTAGTAGTTTTGGGAGATTTCCAAATGGTCCCTTCCTGAGACAGGTGCTATTCCTTGAATGTCCTACAACACTACTCAGAACACTTCTAGTCAATGAAACCTAAGAACCCTATGCCATTATATCCACACAATACCCCCAAAGATATTTTGCTATTGTGTAATATTTTGAGATAATATTAAGACATTCTACAGTAGACATTGAGTAAGTCAGAAAGATCCCTAACTCCTGGATCAGTGGCCCAAATACATCTCCTCTAACTGCAGTATTTGAAGTCTCATGAAAAATACCAAACACAGCACCGATCCTTCAAAAATGGAAAACCTTACCTTTACGAAACAAGCAGTTCACAAAGCTGCTGACTGCTTTTGTGCTGTCTTTGAACAATTGTTCCAGTCCATTATTATTCTTTCTGGCATTTTTTTCCATTTTGATCATTAGAACTTTACTCATGGCCTGATAAAGAAACAATTCTTATGACAGATACTCATTTCCTTACCTTCAGATTTCAGCAATGATCCTCACGCCCTGTGGAAGAGGACAGCTGGCCAAGGTTTGAGTCTACCAAATCACTTGACTCTGACTTGGCTTTACTGATTTAGTTAACATAGCTACCTGTGTAGACTGACAATCTGAAGCTCATTCAACAATAGATAACAGATTGAATCAGGTTCAGCTATTTACAATACGATTTAGGAAAGAGCCCACAAAAGGTATCTGCACTGATTAAAGTAAACTGAGTCAAACTGATGCAACAGTCTTTATTATCTTCCTCTGTGATTTTCATTCCTACATTGCTTAAGTAGGACCCTGACACAGGATTTCTCCTGGAAAATGCAGATAAAACAATTCTCTCAGAAGACTTTTTTAATTAGTGTGTATGTGGCAATGATCTGGACACGACAAGGTAGAATGAATACACTTAAAGAGCATAAGAATTCTTATATTCCAAGACTAACGCTGCTTGGTAAGGACTGCTTTTGTGTAAATTTATTCATTAGAGTTATGCACTTGCTGTACTGTATCAGCCAGACTGCAGGTAAAAATATTTAATGATGTTTCTTTTGGGTCTTGGCACTTTCTGTTCTGCCTGGGGTTGATAAAAATGAATAATGGCAGAGTTCAAAGGAAAGGAACAACTAAGTGAATTCAACATGCCTGGGTTAATGTAGTTTTCCAGTCAACAACTCACAGTATTATAACAAATACCTATGGGACAAAAATAATGTGTAGGACATGGTCATACACAGTTTCTCTCTCATACCATACCAGTTCACCTATCGCCCTGTACTGTGCTATGATCACATTTATGTAGTGCATACCAACATACTAGGGTTAGTGTACACTAAGTAGAAAATTGATCAGGTAGGAGACTAGAAAGCATGGAATGAATTGAGGTGAGTTGGAAAAAAATGATAGGAAGACACAGAAAAGGAAGAAAAAGAGATGATAAAGAAGACAAAGATGTGCATAAACTGAAGGTGTATTAGAACAGTAAGATTGAACTGAAGAAAAGAAAATGACAAGACACCCCAGAATTTCTCTGATAATAATACTGGCTCCCTGAGTGGATAGAGAAGGAATAAAAATTTAAATGATTACCAGGGAGAGTCAGAAGTGTTAATCCAAGTTACACTCTTAAGCAATTCACTTTTCACTTGCAAAAAGTTTACCCGGGATACAATTTTTTTTTCTACTGTCATTAGAAATAATAAGGCTATCTTGATTCCTTCCTTTCATTTGCAGCAAACAGACTATGCCACATGGTCTCAGCAGTCAGTAAGGCCCCTGTGTGACTTCAGATTGCTTATGTGTTCTAACATCTTGTATCAATGAACGGTTCAAGATCAGGATATGCCTAGGAGTGTCCACGTCCTCAGGCTTGGATCTGAATTCTGCTTACCAAAAGGGAGAATTGAGCTCTACATATCTGAAAACTTGCAAACACAACCACAGACTGGTTGTGAAATAGTCACACAAGTCCAAGAGTAAAGCAGCCTCCCCTGTCCCTCCCTTGCATATTTTCCTGACTTATACCAACATATGAGTCAACTGTGAAAACTGGCCAGGAGATCTTGTCTTCTTATCCCTGCCTTGCTGGGGGCCCTGATGGGACCTAGAGAAAGTCATATCACCCCTACTCCAAGTCTTCCTACCCACAGAATTGTAACCTTATTCATCTTCTTAGATGCTTTTCTAATTACCACTTCTTTCATTTTGTCTATAAGGAATCAAAGCAATTTAGACTTTTTAATGTACCCTTCAAAAAAACAAAACTAAACAAAACAAAAAAACAACACAGAAAAACAAATAAAAAACACAACACCCAAACCCCCAAACTAAGGGAAATCTTAACTCATGTTAAGAGAGATATCAGGCCAGTGTAAATTGGGCTGGCTGCCACTTTTAAGCTTATAGAGAAAACTACAGGTAAGTAGAAGAGCCTCACCCCAAGTTCCACCTGGAATTGCTTGGTCTTCATTGCTACTTCATCTGAATGCCAACAGAAGCTCATCACATGCCAATTTGTGGTGTATAAATGTATCTTAAGAGTCCTTGGACAACAATAAGAAGTGATAGATGACATAGACATACAAATTTCACTTCAGTCAGGACAAATAATTTAAGGTATATTAGTCTAATTAATCCAATATAATCTGACTTGATTTAATCTACACACTAGTGGATGGAAATGAAGCACAAATAGAGTCATAATACTCTGTCCCTGCATAAGTAACGTTCACATGCTTCCAAATCCCAGTCTTGAATCTTCATGTGGCCACTGTCATGAAAGGTAACCGACCTGGTGCAAGGTCTACGCATGCTAACTGCCAGTTCTCTTCAGTAAGCCCCAGTTGAGAGTAGAGGTTGACAAGAGGTTTTGCATTTCACTGCTAAGGAATGTGTGGCTCTTAGGCTACACTGAGGCCACCAAAGAGATTCCAGAATCAGTTCACCCAGTAACGATCTCATTTTTAAAGTCATTAATGTTGTTGCTCACAGAGGAAGGATGAACCATTAAGATAAGATTCAAAAGAAGCTGGTCGCATACTGTAGTTCTTTATGGTCTTGAGTGACATTCACTTTCTTTCTTCCAGTGTCATGAGAATGCCTGAGTCACAGCTGGTATTTTGTGAGCCCTGCTTTGGCATACATATAGTCCCCCGAAAAAAAGTGTGAGTTTCATTAAAGCAGCTTTCATTTGCACAGAACATGTTGCTTAAAGAATCATAGAATCATAGAATCATAGAATATCCTGAGTTGGAAGGGACCCTTAAGGATGATCAAGTCCAACTCTTGACACCGCACAGGTCTACCCAAGTTCAGACCATGTGACTAAGTGCACAGTCCAATCTCTTCTTAAATTCAGTCAGGCTCGGTGCAGTGAACACTTCCCTGGGGAGCCTGTTCCAGTGTGCAACCACTCTCTCTGTGAAGAACCCCTTCCTGATGTCCAGCCTAAACTTCCCCTGCCTCAGCTTAACTCCGTTCCCGCGGGTCCTGTCGCTGGTGTTAATAAGAAGCATCTTACCACCCTCATGCTGTAAAATGCAATCTCCCTATGGCTAGAAAGAAGAATCATTATCATTCCTTGAGGATAGAGCAACATTTTTTTTTCTAATTTTCTTGGGAAGAATTATTAGAAATACATTCCTTCCCTGGTGCTGAAAAGCAATTCAAAAGAACAATAACGCTATGCCATATTGCTAAATCATGCAATGCTGGCATTTCTGAAGGCTGACTCGTGCAATCAGATGACTGCACATGACCTTTAACTCCCTTGATAAAAGTAATCTTTCATCAGCCTGGTTAAAGATCTAAAGCTGAAAAATTTTAATTCCTAGACAGAAAGGCAAATAGAGAAGAACCCCAAATTATTACATACTTTAAACAAATCTTGTGACTTTGGCATCATCTTCAAATGGATGGCTTGGGCAATGCTGCACTTCCTTATCCTTCATTCTGCTTTGCTGATAATCTCTGTGCAGAAGTTAACATTTTACTTAACAGGCAATATAATTTTAAGAGAATTGTGTGAAAAGGTTGTACCTTCCAGCACTTTTGTGTAATACATGGCAGTAGGAGGCTGCAGAGGACACTCGGATCCAGACCTTTTTAATGTTACATGGTGCATAAAAGCCAAGCAGGAAGATAGGCTGAGCCCCCAGAAAGCTCATTTTTGGACACTCAGCTTGAAATTCATGCTAGCTTTAAAAAGTCCCAAGGGGAAGTAGCTCTCAGCAGTAAAGAACCAAGGCTGCAAGTCCTCAGCATCCTTTAAGACTCAAGATGTGAACAAATTCTAAGGGCTTGTGGTCAGCATTTCCAGTTGGCATTGCTTTTTTAAAGGCATATCATCTGCCAACAGAAAACTAAGCTGTTTTACTAGGGCCTAGCACACTGCAAATCCCCCAGATGTTGAAGGTCACAGCATCAGCAAACCTTCTGAAAATGTTGCTTGTCATGCTTCTCCACATCAGAATGCTATGCAAAGCAGGATTCACCTAGGTTCTCCATAGGGTTCATTGCTCATCGCTTAAGGTTTTACAGTTAGTATGATCTGACTGATATGCCCCAAGAATGTTAATAAAAAAAATAACTGAGTGATCATTTTTTTCTGAACTAAAGCATTCCATGTACTATCATGGCTATTATAATAAAACAACAGTAAACATGAACACCCCCCTCCTCACCCCCTCCCCAGAAAAGCAGCGAGAGTCCTGAACTGCTGATATTTTATTTCATGTCAGCACTAAGCAATGCAAGACTATGCTGAAAGTTTTTAGGAAGGAATGTTCTTTACCAAATCTACACAACATAAAGTAAAAATCATACCATACCATTATAGGGATGCTTCCTAAGGGAAACAGGTGGTTAAAACAATTTCCCAAGGGCTATGAAGTACATCAATGAGACTAAAGTTCTGAAATCCTATTCTGTGCCTAATGAGGTTCTATTTTGGCAGAACTCCACCAAAGCCAGCTAGGTCTTCTGCTCGGCTGAAAGACAAGTTTAACACAAACAAATCAGCTCTGTCATCACTCCTTTCCTTCTGTAAGGTTCGCCCCTTTATTTTTTTATTGCAAAAGCAAGTTTGGGCTCCTCTCTCCCTGGATGTTTCCATGCTGAGTCTGAAACCTACTGGGGCCTTTGAATTCAGTTATTGGATTGTATCATTCTTTCCTTCCTTCTTCTCATTTAGGACTCAGCCTATCTCAGATTGTAGTCCAAGGTTTGATTTTCTTTAATTTTTAACTTGGATATACCATGCAGACAATACGCTAGCATTTCTTGTTTGAATACTGGGTACTTTGCTTCTGATTTCAGTGAAGCTAACTGTTTAGGATGCTTAGTGGGTCTATTTTAGCCTGAGACATTCCATGTACTCAATTATTTATGCATTTTAATTGCTCAGATTACAATGCCAATGCCACGCTGTTTGCAGCACAGGCCTAAAGATACAGAATGACTGTCCTCTGTAGTCAATAATCCTTCATAGGTACTCAGCAAACATAAGAATTAAAGAACTGGAGTTTACATGCGGGTATAAATGCCTTGCCAAAGATTCTTTGAAAAGTATACACTTTCAGCAAATGTGTAGAACTTGCCTTCATATACTTTAAGTTTAGCATCCAAGTTTTAAGAATGCAGGTCGCAAGTAAAATAACTGCTTTATGGAATTATCTGATGGGATGTTACTCAGTCATAGAAATTTTTTACACTAACAAAAGGGAAGCCTCAATTTTCTTATTTCTGCCAATGTTACTGCATTGCCACTTCTTAACACACTAAATAGCTACCCTCAGGTATTGTTTTAATCAAAGGTCAAGTTGATCTTCAACAGAAAAATTATGTTATTAGGTATACGGTTAACAAGAAAAATGTATCTTATGGTTGTGCTTGATGAAAGTAACTAGTGTTTTATAACTATAAGGAAGAGTAGCTTATGATTGGAAAACAGTGTAATTGTTTTGTTGCAAACAACTTTAAAAGTTGCTTTTAAACAACTTAAATTTATTTAAGTAATGTCTTCAAAGCCAGTGACATCTCCCTGAATACATGTCCATCTTCCTCTGAAAGAAGTGTGTGAGTGGATTTAATGAGATTTATACCCAAAAGCCTACCAGAGCCTGTATCTGTCCATTTCACAGAAGAGATATGCATTGCACATTGGTCCTCCACACAACTGATGTCTGTTACCTTTTGTCTAGTTCCAGTGTTCCTTCAAATCCTTTCACCTTAAAGAATCTGCAAACAAAATCAAGATAACAAGATAAATGCTGTTCTGTGTTAAGGTTTATCAAAATTTGAGTTACAAGTGGAGAACGTGTCCAACTTTCTGTTTGTAGCTGCAAATGCATACATGATACATGATGTGTCTTCTGACTAATCTAGTGCATATACAACAGCATAAGTGAGTCTTTTAAGCATCCTAAAAATGTCAATCATCCTTAGCAGGCAACACAATACAGGCACAGGTAAGTCCCAGCTGGCAAACGTAAATGTCTCCCAGATCAGGAAAAGCCAAGAAAGATGAGCATGAAAGCAATTTCCCCCTCTCTACCCTTTCCTGCCTCTGCAGAGAAGCACAACTACATCATACGAAGGAGGGAAGTGTTTTTCAGTCACTCCACTCTTGACCAAAAAAAAAAAAAAAGACTTTTTCTGTGATGTTTGTGCCTAAAGTTATGGCACCTGCTGGGAGGCAGCAGCAAAGTACAGTACCTTCTATAAAGATTTTTTGGGGATTAGTGCTAAAACTCTGTGGCAATAAAATACTGCCATCAGCTTTAAGTAACTATGTTAGTTTTGTTTGTATTATCATAGCATCAAATGTATTACTAAATAAATCATGGGTATTTCTATGTCTTGCAGAAGTAACAACAGTATTGCCTAGAAGGGATGAGAATATCAGAAACTCCTCTACAAGCCCAAGAAATACAGATATGTGGGACAGAGAGCAGAAAGAGAGGAAGAAGGAAAAAGAGTCAATAAACTTGTCTGATATAAGAAGAAAATTTCCAGTATCAACTAAGTAAACAGTTTATAATCTGTCCTTTTCTCTAATGGAGAATTTATACCCATGAAAGTATCCCAGTATAACAATATTATGAGAAATGACTACAGATTCACCCTTCAAAGACAAACAGGATTTTCACCTGGACATACAAAGCAAGCATAGATTTCCACATAATCTTCAAAGAAGGTTTCACATATACACAACAAGACTTTACAGTTCTCCAACCCCCTCTCCTTGAAACATTTTATATAGCTGATTTATTTTAGTTGACAACTTCTAATGGTAACTTTAACAAAACCAGCACTCTTTGATTGCTGGCCTTGGTTGTATCAGAGCGAATCAGAAGTAAATGCACCAGGCTCTGTGAGTTTCTCCCAATACACACAGATAAAACAAAAGTCAGAATCTGGGGCCCAGGTTCCAGACTGAGTTGGAAAAGAGATAGTTAACTACTTTCAACTCCATAAAAGAAAAGCTCAATATACTAACAAGATAGTCGCTTTGAACTGTCTCCAGACACTGGACCATGAGTATTTTAGTACTGCAAACTAAATAGAATAGATTGTCTTAAGACATTTATGAGAAATTGCCCTTTCAAAAAAGTTTTTTCAAATCAATGATTCATATTGACATGTTATTTTTCTCCTCCAGAAACACAGAAGAGGGGCACTGCTTTTACTGTGAACCTTTTTTTTTTTTTTTCTCTGTTTCTGGCAAGTATCCTAGATTTTGTAATTTAATATTCCTGCCAAAAGCATTGGAGACATTGGAGATGATCCTCAAGGGATTAAGGACAAACTGTGGATTACATTCTTGGCATTAGGCTGAACTAGAAGCTTGCATTTTTCTTGCTGTTACTAAAAATTTGTAAACCAACCATATAAGGCTACAGCAGAATTAAGAATAACTTGATGCTGTTTTACTTTTGCTTCTCAGACTATTAGTCCATTATCAGAATATTAAATTACAAAACTAGATACCTGTATCTAATGCACTCCTGCTCTTACTCTAGAGAACATGTTTAAGTCAAGCGGATGTGTTTATGCTCGTTAACCTTGCATATTAACAAAGTGAGAACAGGTTGTGGTGTGGCTGAGGACATGACTTACTTTTTGCTCCTGTTTCACAAATGTAGGGGGTCAACAACATAAGAACAGCTAAAGTGAATCAATCAAATCTGTAAAAAGCCAAGCTCCTTTCTCTGACAGTGACCAATAATGGGTATTTTGGCAAAGAGTACAACAACATAGGACAGGATCAACTCTTCCTCTAACATACCCTAGTGAGATCTGGTAACTTGCTGTTCAGAGACAGAGAGAGTTGGAGGCTGGTTTCACATCTGTGCATTTAAAAGCCGTTCCATGATTTTATTCAGTTCCTTTACTGAGACCACTTATAGCCTCAGTAACACCCTGAGACCCTCAGTCTCATTGTTCGTTTCCATTGGACTATGGAAAAACAACTTGCTTTTCCTTGATTTACGTCTGCTGCCTGGCAATTTCAATAGGCACTCTGGCTTCTGGTACTGTAAGAGAACACTCCTTCCCTAACACCTCTCTGGGGCGTATGTTGAATGCCAGGTCACCAGCAGTAGAACCACTATCTGTCCTACCACCCTCTGGTGGGATTTAGAGGTACAGAAGGACATACAGAAACAAACCAAAGAACATGTTACATCTTTTGCAGTCACTATAGCCACAAATTACAGGGAAAACTTTCAGAAAAAAAAAATATATATATTCAGTCTAACACTTTCTGAACCTAATAAATAATGAATGAAGTACTCAGAGATCTAGTAGATTTCCCTTGTATAATAAGCCCAGTGTTTTATATTTAAAAAAACGAAACAAAACTGCTCAAGCTAATGAATGACAGATGTTAGACTTTACTTAGTACTTCCAGGATTGCCTGGAAAAATGTTAGCTCAGGCATTTTGCAAGATTCAAAATGTCAGTCAAACATATCAAACTGTTTGAATGCAACCTGTAACTTGTTATCTGAGTTTAGGGATTACTTATCAAAAAATTATATGAGAAAGCAAAATTATATGTTTTAAGCAAAAGTTGAAACATATTAAAATATATCAAAGCATATAACACTGTTGATATGTTTAAAAGCTATTTGTATTTTACAAAAGTGCAATTGAAATAACAGAGCTAAAGAAAGTATGTACAACACCGATTGCATGAAATTAGTAGACTTAAAAATTACAAGAGATTAAGAACCTTGCCTATTTTCTAGAACCTTTTCTATTTTCTATTACCTAGAGAAATGCCATAGCAGCAGTAAAAAACTCTCTTTTCTGTTATATTGTATGATTCAACTGCTGCTCCACGAGCTCACAAGACCTGATGCACATTTCTAGGATAGGTTAATATTGCTGCAAACTTCTTGTTGTAAATCTAATATCACTTCCTTTAAATCCAGTACCTAAATATAAATTAAGAAATGGATCACAACGATAGCAGGTCACAGTGATACCATGGTGAGGCAAGTGAACGAATATTCAACAAGTGAATTATGCCTATATTCTCTATTTAGTTCAGTAAATAGATGTAGCCTCTTAACTGTTTAAGAAACACACTGTAAAAACACTAAGGATGGATTAAAGGCCACTTTTTAAATGCATTTTGATACCGTGCTACTCAACCTTATAACCTAAGTGACAGTCTATCTTAAGAAGCAGGAAAGGCAGATAGGGCTCTATATCCCATGGACCCTGGTTTTAAAAATAAAAGCCATCCTCTTACAACTTCATTTTATAAACAGGTGAAAATATGAGAACTTTTCCAAGTGCTTCTTATTACAAAATTTAGGGGGAAAAATTCTGTTTCTCAAGAAAGCAGGCACAATGCTTCTGTGACTGGTTGGTATCTCACATTAAAGGAAAACGAGGACATCTGGAAGAGAAAAAAGGTTTAACATTTTTTGGAGAGGAAACTTTGCAGGGGTTTTCCACGAGTAGAAACCGCTCTTCAGTGTAAAAGAAGACTGGGTATGACAACACTAAGTACTGTGTTAAAAGGCCTTTGGGGAAAACTGGTGATAAGCATGTGATAGCCTAGCTAGGGACTTTCAAGAATGGGGGAGGGAAGGCATCAGGACAGGGCTCTGGGTTTTATTACATTTAAGAAGGAATTAAACTGAAGAAGTACCCAAAAGGGGAAGATAATACAGTACTGAAATCCACTATTGTCTGGGGCACTTTGTTTCACTTAAAAGCTGAAAATACAATGAAATCTCACAGAACTCATGACAAAACACGCTCCGGGAAAAAGGCTGAGTTATATAAATAGACAAGAAAGGAAGTCTGATACTGAGATGGCACAGCTGCCCTACAAAGCCCTACACCTTGTCAGAATTTTTGAGATCTCTTGATTAGAGGTCATGCAGGTCAAGCTGTTGGAAAACAGTAGTACCAGTAAGAGATCAGTTCTGTGGCCTTCAGTATGCTGGCCTGCTCCTCAAATCCATTTTGGTCAGTGCAAGCCACACCGTACCCAGCAGGGCTTACCTGGAGTTCAGCTCACTTAGGAAAACTAACTTTTAAAAAACATTAGTGGTTTCCAGACTGTCACAAGCTGCCCCAAAAAGCTCCTGCTCTGTCTTTGCTGTCCACTCTCACCTCAAAGTACACTACCTATTCATCCACAGCGCAGGCTCCTTCACTTCTCTACTGTAACTCAGTCCCTAGTATCCCTGCCTATAGACGTGCCTTTGCACTCCCCAGCTTTGTCACTAGCAATATTTTTTGTGCTTCATTAATACTGCCCAGTCCATAGGTATAGACCACCGTAAAATGAAACCTTAAAAAAAAGTTGGCAACAAAGGAAGTGAAATGTGTTATTCAGCTGGTGGTGATTCCTCTTTGGTAAGTCTAAAATCAGAGTTTTGTTAAGACACTTATTAATGGGCTTTTTCAAAGCACACTCAAAAACAGACAACAACAAAACTGTTCTTTGTTTCTCAGAGTTCTGAGCCAGTGGGTTAATTTAGAAATTCACTAAATTGATGAAGACCTACAGTGTTTCATTTGAGAAATGCACGCGTTTCACAGGTAAGTAATGTGTTCCCAACAAATACTTTGCATACAGTGACAGTGGTCACCATAAAAAGGACCAGCAGGCTAGGATTCTCTATCCTGGTGAAGAGATACCTTAAGAAGGCCTGATGGCATGGAGAGGAATTTCACTGTCTCTTTAGATATTCAACAGAGAGGAGCCATCAATGAACCTAAGAGAAGTTGGGTTATAAAGACGCCCTACAGTCCTATAGAACTCCTTGCCAGATGATTTTTTATTTTCAGAAAATCCTCAAGGAAGGTTGAATGAGGATTTAGAAGAGAGATCTATTGATATAATCAGCAAGCACAGGCCACGAAAGACTCTGATGTAAAAATCTTGAAAACCTCAGCAAACTGTACAAAAGGAATGTGAACAATTATGAAAAGTTACTGGTCTAAATACGATTTTGTCCAGTTGATAATAGATGAACCAGAACCTAATTTCATGGCTTTCAGCCTGACACCATGCTTTATACCACAAAAGGTTTTAGACACACAAGATAGGAAGACAGCACTTCAGATCTTTTAACCCAAGCTTCTGAGGTTACCACAGTCACGGAAAGAGATTTTAGCACGTGGGACACACTCTTTCCTCTTGCCTTTCCCTTTTATAATTTCTCCCTAGAAATAGGCAGCAGGCACTCTCCTTCTGACAGCCTTTCAGCACATTCATTCTTCCCCATTCTCCAGACTTGGAGGTTCTGCTTCTAATCATCTATCCTCCTGTGATGTCTGGGGTGGCAAAAGCTCCTAGAGATCTGGCATGTTTGCACCCAAGCTCCTTACAGAAACAAACCACGTGGGAACTCCTGCGGCACTCTGCTTCTGTTATAGCTCTGTTACATTACTGTCTCACTACAAATACTTTAGCAGATGCAGAGATAATTGATTCAACAGTGTGAGGTTTTGCCCACACTCTGGGGACTAAATGATAGCGGGTGAATCATGAACCTGACTGTATCTTTCTGCTGGCTGTTTCTGGGCGTTCTTCAGTGGATGACCTTATCTCTTTTTTTCTAAATGAACAGAAGTTCAGAAGTTTCTCAAGCCACTCACTTTTACCATAAAAAATTAAAGTACCTCCATTATGACTCTGCATGATTCATGCATGCTTTCTGCAAAAGGTTAAGAGTAAATGCGTTCTTGGGAGAAGCAGAAATGTATTATTTCACATGATTAGTGCTCTCTGACACCCTTAAAATCAATGGCCTTACTGAACTCAAGGGGGAAGGGAAGGGAAGGGAAGGGAAGGGAAGGGAAGGGAAGGGAAGGGAAGGGAAGGAAGGGAAGGGAAGGGAAGGGAAGGGAAGGGAAGGGAAGGGAAGGGAAGGGAAGGGAAGGGAAGGGAAGGGAAGGGAAGGGAAGGGAAGGGAAGGGAAGGGAAGGGAAGGGAGGAAGGGAAGGGAAGGGAAGGGAAGGGAAGGGAAGGGAAGGGAGAAAGGGAAAGGGGAAAGTTAGCATGAATCTACCACACAGACAAATTACTGAGATCATAGATACAGAAGGAAAGGTTATCATCTTTCTTTTACAGGCTTCGTATCACCTACTCTTTCAGCTCAATCCCCAAAGTTTTTACTTCTCTTTCTGACGCATACAGAAAAAAATAACTTTATTCAGCTTATTCCGTCATGCAAGACCTTTAAGCTGACCTCTGTTAAACAAGAGTACTTTTTCAATTTTGAAGTTCACATCAGCACTTAGAAGTCACAATCAAAGCTCGGGGTAATACACTAAGCTGGATGAGACTGGCTCCTTTAGCTTTAGAAGCAACAGAAATGACAAACTGAAAGGAATTTTTTCTGTTCTCAAAAAAAAAAAAAATCTTCAATTTTTCTGATAAGCAACTGCATTAATTCAGTGCCCAAAATAAAGATATCAAACAGCCTCAATGAATACATTATGTCAGTCTCAGTCTGAATCAGACCTGATAACGCTTTGCTATCAGACCATTTAGTGTCTCATGGTCTTTTGTTAATACTCTATTTGTGCATAAATTCTTGTAGAGAAGAAAAACAACACAGCACCTAAATGCATGCAGCAGAAAAACTTCAGAGCTCTTTTTAAAGCACAGGTGTTAAATAAATAAATAAATAAATAAAAAATTAGCAATAGTCTGTCTCTGGAAAAGAATAAAAATGTAGTTGAGTCCAGTTCTTCAACTCTCCAAGTCTGCAGACTTATAGCCTTCTCTAGAATCGTACTGGTTTGCACCAGTAGAGATTTTGGCTACTCTAAATAGTGTCACTCTCTCTGAAAACAAAACCCCACAAGATCTGCAGTACCACATTACGTTTGTGTATGAAAAGCATCAAAATGGATGACACAATAACTAAATAACACAATATTCACAGTCATCTTGCCATGTAGAATTTCAGTCTTTTAAAGCTGACACAATGACCTCATTGGGAAGTCGGTATCTCAGAATTTCACCTAGCCCACTATAAAAGGGTAAGGTATATTTCTGCAGATTCAATTTTTAATTAAGCAAATGGAAGAACCAATTTCAGGTTTTCTTTTTGTCTTTGATCCAAGCTCAGAGTGCCTTTTTTTTCTTCCCAGACAATGCTGACTGGACAATGTTATTGCAACAAAATAAATTCTCACTAGATATGAGGAAAAAAATCTTCCTCATGAGCGAAGTGCCGTGTTGGGGCAAGACCCAGGTATAATGTGGAACCCCCACCTTGGTGGTTTTCCAAATGCAGATGGATAAGGAGGCCCTGAGTAACCTTATCCATCTGGGGAGTCATAAGCCCCTGGAGCTGGACTAAAAACTTCCAGAGGTCCTGTCCAGCCTGAATTACCAGATGTTATCAAAGTTTGTACTCAACCTACAACACAAAAAAGTGAAATTTTTAGTAAAAAAAAAAAAAAAAAAAAAAAAAAGTGAACAATAGTGGGACTGTTTAACCTAGAAAAGAGGAGATTGAGAGGGGATCTTATCAACCTCTACAAATACCTGAGGGGACAACGTAAATAGCACGGGGACAAACTCTCCCCAGTAGTGGCCAGTGATAGGACAAGGATAATGGGTATAAATTGTACCACAGGAGGTTTCATCGCCACTTAAGGAAGAACTTCTTTGTGGTTTGGGTGACAGCACTGGAACAGGCTGCCCAGAGAAAGTCATGGAGTCTCCTTCTTTGGAGATATTCAAAACCTGTCTGGACGCAATCCTGCGTAACATGCTGTGGGTGACCCTACTTGAGCAGGGGAACTGGACTACGTGATCTGTGGAGGTCCCTTCCAATTTCAGCCATTGTGTGATTCTGTGAAATTCTCATCAGTTTGAATGAATTTTACATGTCTTCTGGTATCAGCTTTTATTTATTTATTTTTCCATTATAGTAGCGTCTAAGAATCCCACTAAAAGAGCAGAGCTTTACCACAATAAACAGTGTGGAAGCAGACATAATGAACACTGTTTATCATGAAAATCTTTAAGTAAATACACTGGATGCAATTCAAAATGAAAGTACGCTATCACAGCCCTCCCTGGATAAAGAACTGTACAAAGAGCTGCTTAGTGCAGCTGAATTAAGCAGGCTTACCACAGTTTGTAACATGGCAGTGCCCTTCTCCTTCAGCTTCAGATCTCTCCTGCAAACAAAGGACACTTCCCTCATTCCTTTTGCCAGTGGTTCAGGTCTCCTGGCTCAACCAGGCACCTCAGAAAGATCCCATCCTGCACAGCTGATGGTAGAGGAGATTGTCCAGCTCTGAGGTCTCCTTCCCTTTTTACTTGCAGAGCTACAGCAGCTTCACAGCAACCTCTGCTGCCAAAGACCAGAATCAGATCAGAAATGATGGAACTGCCTAAGCTGTTATCACTTTACATAGAAGCTTCCCCCCACAAACATACACAGTGGAAACAACTAGGTAAGGAAGCACCGATCCATACTAGGGACAAGACTCCCTACCTTCGTCTTGGATAATACTGGTGTAAAACAGTCCTGAAATACCAGCAGCGGCCTGTTTCCAGAACTGTCCCATACCAAGTACAAACCTTGCAGGTTAGGCTTTTGAGGTAATTGTTATTATTCTCAGTCTAACTGTGACACGAATCTTTAACTGATGACAGTTTTAATAAATATCATTACTTATTAAAAAGTAATAAACTTAATTTTAACAACGTTAGTAAATCTGCTGCTTGATTTGAAAGAAAACTCTCATAGCTCAGTTCAGCACAGTACCATCACCCATGGCCGCACTGTCACTTACATGTTTGCTTGAGGAAAAACATAGCTTTACTTGTTTGCTAAAGTTTTTGGTCATTGCAGTAGTCCTTCGTTGTACTGTCTTACAGCAGATACAGCTGACTTCAAGGCAGCTGAGAAAAGAGAAAATCAGTTTAACAGATCTGGTGACAACATCAGTAGTGAGAAAATCAAACTGAACTGTAAACTGGTGGTGCGTAGTACCTTTCAACATCTGACTCAGTGTTGACTCCTTACTACTCTTCTTAGTAAAAACAAAAACAAAATACCAAACAGTGCTTCACCTTCAGAGAGAAATAAGAAAGTGTAAGCGTGTGCCTTGTGAAATCTGTGGGAAACTGTCTCATTGCTCTACACTGGCAGTCCCACACACCGGTGCTAAGAGACTCGGCTGTGTGAGCATGAAAACGAGCCGTGTCACACGCAGCTGAGCAGCTCCAATGCAGGGCACTTGAAGAAAATGATGCAGCTGCACACCTGCTCCAGCCGTGCCTGAACCTGCTCGGGCCCTGACTCACAAGCTACTCCACAGCCTCGAAGCAGCTGCAGCGATGAAACTAGGTGATTCGATCCTAACTCGCAGGAATGTTTTATGTGAGGAAGGACAACGTGAGGAAGGGCGAGAGCTCGCTGCTTAGTACGAACCAAGCTGTAAGGCTTGAATGCGGCGTACTGATGCCACCTCGCCCCTCCTGCGCTGTCTGTACCCTCCTCACCGCCTGATAAGCGCAGTGTGACAAGCGGCGGGCCCTGCCCCGCCCGCCATGCCGCCCCGCCCCGCCAGTGCGCCTCAGGTGCCCGTCATGGCGGCGGCGGCGCAGCTGCTCCGCGGGGCCGCCCGCGCTGCCCGGGCTCCGCCCGCCCTGGCCCGCCGGGCGCTGGGCTCGGCGCCGCCGCCGGGGGTCCCGGCCACCCGGGGCGGGCCGCGTTGGGCGCTGGCGGGGGCGCTGGGCGGGCTGGGCTTGGGGCTGGGGCTGTGGCGGCGGCGAGCAGCCATGGCGGCGGGCGAGGAGGAGGAGGACGAGGAGGAGGAGCGGCTGCGGCGGCGGTTCATGGCGCCGCCCGTCAGCGGGCTGCGGGAGCTGCGGCGGCGGCGGCGGGAGCTGCGGAGCCGCATGGAGCTGCTCATCATGGAGACGCAGGCTGAGGTGTGCCGCGCCCTGGCGGCCGTGGACCCCGGCGCCGCCTTCGCCGTGGACACCTGGGAGAGGAAGGAAGGTGCGGGGGGGGACGGGAGCAGCCCCCCGGGGGGCGGCCGGGTGTGTGTGTGTGTGTGGGGGGGGCTGCGGCCCCGGCGGGGCGCTCCCGGCCCTCGGTGACCGGCGGCGCGGTGCTGGCCTTGGCAGGCGGCGGCGGCATCAGCTGCGTGCTGCAGGACGGAGACGTCTTCGAGAAGGCGGGCGTCAACGTGTCCGTGGTGTTCGGGCAGCTCTCCGAGGAGGCGGCGCGGCAGATGAGGAGCAGGGGCAAGACTCTCAAGGCCTCCGCGGACGGTAAGGGGCCCGAGGCTGCCTCTGCGGGCGGTGGGAAGGCAAAGCTCGGCCCTGGTGCTTGTGGAAGCCACAAGGTTGTTCCTCGAGAAAGGTGCTGCAGGAGTTGCTTCTCGTAGAGGTGGAGGGAGAAAACCAAAACGACGCGAAGACCAAAAGGGAGTCGATGGCATTCCTATAGCAAAGGTAGTTCTGAGGCCGGGGTGGTGGAAAGCTGGAGCAGTGCCTTGTGTTTTCAGTGGTCGTCATCTAAAGGATGCTCTAATGTTACCTTTTGGTTGCGTTTTTAGGGCAAGTGTAGAAAAGGTACTTAGGTGCATAAAAATCGTGGACGAGAAGTAAATTTAATTAATAATTATCGCTACCCAACACAATAGATTGTCTTGTAGTGGACCAATAGCTTGGAAACTAAGTATAAATAGTGATGTTCCTTACATTATAATAAATGAAGTTATTTGACAAGCTGAAGACTTCTTTTTTTCTGTGCATCTTTTTACCTAGGAAAACTGCCTTTCTGTGCCATGGGTGTAAGCTCTGTTATCCATCCAAAGAATCCTCACGTTCCAACTATGCACTTCAACTACAGATACTTTGAAATTGAGGAAGCAGATGGTAAGAATTATCAGCCATTGTAACACGTATGATGTGTGACTCTGCATGAGGAAAGTGGGAGTGCATGGCCAGGGTTAGAGGTTAAGAACCAATCCAGTTTTCTTCCCAGGTATGCCAATAACAGGTTGTGTAGCACCACATTTCTTAATCTCTGGGGTTTCAGAGTTATGTTAATGTGCAAGAGGCCATAAATATATGTAAAACATTGAAAGAAGCAACTGTAGAATTTAATAGGAGAAAGGCCTGAAGGACTGATAAGCATTCTGGTCAGGCTATGCAACCGTTGTCTCAGAAGCTGGAAGGACATACTGTCAGAAACATCACTCTCTGTGTTAGTTTTTTCCCCCCTGAGTTTCTGCCACATGCTACTGTCAAAGGCAGGCTTCAAAGCTAGGTGCTTTAGCACCAAGAGGCCATTTGTACGTCAAAGCTTAGGGAGATTTTTCTTTGAATTATATTGTCAGTGTATTAAAGATAATTTCTAACCAATTAGTTACCCTGGAATTATTAATGATGTTTCCTTTCTTTGGCATGCAGTAATGTTTCTAGATACTTGAAGTATCCATGAAGTTTCAGTTTCCTTGTCTTGTATAAGGTGTAACTATGACAATAGGAACTGACAGCCCATTTTGTGAAACTGATACTCCGTGGCATCTGGTAGAGTAACATGTCCAAAATATCCAACAAATAGTTCTCACTGCTGTGAAATTTGTTCCATGTTTTCCTGTTTGTTGAATTACCTCGAACTCAAATTTGTCATGATTGTTTAGGGATACCATTGAATAATGATTTTATTTTGTATTGTTCAAGTAGTTGTTAGTTGTTGGTGAACCACTAGCAATGTATTTCTGTTTGACAGTTTTTAAAAAAATAGAAAAAATGTTGTTTGCCCTTCTCCTATAGGCACTAAACAGTGGTGGTTTGGTGGTGGAACTGACCTCACTCCAACTTACTTGAACGAAGAAGATGCTGTACATTTTCACAAGACTCTGAAGGAAGCTTGTGACAAGCATGATCCGAAGCTGTATCCGAAGTACAAGAAATGGTATGTGGGGAGTGATGTGCTTGGATCCCTGTTGTGGGAGCAAAAGATGGTGTTGGAAACTGTCAGTTAAGTGTGTTCTAGGAAAACTATGTTCTGTTCTGCCTTTTGATAAGTATCAGCAGGCCCTAAAGAAAATCAAGAGATGTGTATTGGGATAAAATGTAGTCTAAAGCAGTCTGCTATTTATGGAGGCCCGAGAGATACTGTTTGGCCATTGCTGCAGTTTTGAAAACTCCATTCCAGTTATTCTGCCTTCAACGTGTCCTTCATTCCTTTTTTTTTTTTTTTTTTTTTTTTGGCCAGGTAGGTAAAGAAGCTTCTCTTTTTAATGTAGAAGCTTCATAATTTTGATGGAGCTGCAGTTTTGTTTCAAGTGACACATTCACAGAGTGTTCAACAGCATATTCTCTGAAGATGTGAATTTTGAATGTTCTTGAGCTGAGAGATGCAGTTGATGGGATCCTTTGCTAGTCAGTGGGGGCTTGCTGCTTTGTGTCTGATAATCCTATCTGCTACAAGCTATGGTATCCAGAAGGGAGGGTTAGCCTTTTGTAAGCTACCACATTTTGTCTGAGGACAGGAGATAAAGTGGGTGTTGCAGCTTGGGTGTGAGCCTCTTAGTGTAGAGAAGCACGTCTTAAAACCTTAAGACTACAGTCTGGTTCTCTACGGAATCTTTTTGTGTGCTGGTTCAGAGTGCCTGCCTTAATGGTCAGGTTGTGTGCAGGGAAAGTAGGCTAGCAATGCCAGAGGCAGGGGATCAGAGAGACAGACATCTGTTCTTAGTCTGAGGGCAACTAGACTAATTGTACCCCGTAGACAAAGACGCTGTTCCTAATTCCAGCATAAGCGTTTGCTGTGAACAGCAGCTGTGTAGGGGCATGTGGTTCTCAATGATGGAGTAGCGTGAATCTCCTCTGTGTCGCCCTTGTTCCACTCCTCTCAAACAGGAAAGCTCTTATGTTTACCATGCTGCCTTCCTGATACAGCTTTAAAACTTTCGTTAACAGTGATTGTGGATGGACACATGTATGGCATGCTAGTCTTGAAGGCAGGCATGATCCCCTTGCTGTTGGTGGTTTCTGCTTCCATTTCTACCCCATGTGAAGGCTTGCAGGGCATGGTTGCCCAAGCATGCAACTGTAAGTTGGGTGTGGATACAATGAATCAGGTGATTTATAGTAATTGCATACCTACGCACTCCAGTAAATACAAAATAGATTAATTCCCACCTCATTGTAGGATAAACTGCACTTATTGTTCCATAAACTTGAAAATGAGCTGTGAACAGCCACTGCTAGAATGACTTCATCTTCTACATTTAACCATTACAAAGTCTTTTTCCAAAGAACGCTGCCTCACTCGCTTTTTTTTTCCTGTCCTCTTAAGTGACAGCAGCTTTCTTATCCAGTCTTGGGTTTACCAATTCTTTTAGTTCTGATGTAGAAAATATACATATATATATATATATATATATTTTTTTTTTCACAAGAATGGCAAAAAGAGTAAAGAGATCATCTTTCAAGTTTATTTCACATCTGCCTGAAAGCTGTGCAAATAATCTGGGATCTGCATGTAACCCTGTGAATGAAACCTAGAAAGAGCTCCTAGGGTGAAGTTTTGACATCAAGTGTCCCTTCTCATAGGTAGAGAACGTGGATTGGATCACTCCATATGGAAACATTCGCCACGGTTTTTGAATGTTCCATGTTCAGTGACTGTCCAGTGATACGTAGCTTTTCAGGGACGATTTAATTGGAGCTTTTACTGTGTTTGAATGCAGGAGTGCGTTCCGTGTGGTGTTGTACAGTCCTGCTCTCAGCAGGCAGTGAAACAGTGGTGCAGCCAGCACTGTAGGAATTGACTTTTCGTCGCTATTTCACCAGTGCCATCCTGTGCCGTGTAGCTGTTTGGAGTAATGTTTGTTTCTTTTAATATCGTGGGCCATATCATTAATTGTCTGCTGCCCCTTCCAGGTGTGATGACTACTTCTTTATCAAGCACCGTGGTGAGCGAAGAGGGATTGGAGGCATATTCTTCGATGATTTGGACTCTCCTTCCAAGGAGGAAGTTTTTCAGTTTGTGCAGAGCTGTGCCAAAGCCATTGTGCCTTGTTACATTCCCATTGTGAAGAAACACTGCCATGACGCCTTCACACCAGAGGAGAAGCAATGGCAGCAGCTTCGGAGAGGACGGTGAGTACTGAAGGAGCAAAAGAATACCTGGGAGGTGGATGAGACTGGCGAGAATAAAATGCGCTAGTTCTTCGTAGTTGTGGGGTTTATGTCCTGAAGTTTATTTTTACATTCTGTCACAGTGTAGGTTAAGTTTGCACAAGTGCTCAAAAGCTTGCCAGAGGGTTGCAACACTTCCGTGTACAGAACTATTTTTGATATCCAGTGCTGGGTTGCCAGGGAGGTTGCAGAAGGTACCAGCACACCCTTGTATGTATCCCCAACTCTCCCATATGCAGCAGCACAAGCAACCCATATAAAATGCTACAGTTTCTCTGACACCTTCAAGGAAAAAAAAAAAAAAAGAAGCTCTGTACAAGCAAAGAGGTGCATGTGTCCTGAATCCCACCTTCTCCTGCAGTCCAGTGACATGGGATATAGGACTGCCCTGTCACGAGGAGCATAAGGGTGAAGGAGTCATGCATACTATTCAATAACGAAGCTAAATTCCAGCAAGTCAACAAATATTTGTACCCAAGAGTGTTTTCAGTTTCTTACATATTTATTCAATCTGATATTTTTCTTGGCATTGAAGTAAGTATGCTGTGAACTCTTTGTGAAGGAATAAAGATAAACAGAGGTTTTATTTTTCTGGAATGGTCCAAAGTCTTTAATGTAGACACTTGAAGATGCTTATTACTCTGAATGATTGTTAATGCTGCAAAAGCTTAAGTACATTGGTACGTACTCTCGTCTCTGTCCTGTGATTGTCTAAGCAGGTGGAGAAATGCGAATATACGTGCCCTGTGCAAAAATGAGGAGTCTTGCTGCTTTTTCTGCGAAGAAACCTGTGAAAGTGGCATAGAGGGGACATAAGCATTCAAGTTTAGATCACTGGCCTGCGGTAGTTAGTCAAATAAGCATACATGCTTAATTGGCTAGAACTGTTCCTGGGAGTGCTGGACTCCTGGGATCCATTCTGTAGATGGGATTTAGCAAGCCTGGTAATGTTACAAGAAGAAATAGCTTCTTTAAGCTGCAGCTGGGACTGACTCAGGCTGCCTGTTGCTCTGGACCTGTTTGCAGGTTGTTGAACTAGGCAAAGCTCTTGTTTCTGCCAATAAGAAAGAGCTCCTTCCTTTCTGTTTCTCTGCTAAGTATTAATACCTCCGTACTGGTTGTTAACATAAACCCTACAGAATTGTCACTGCTCTGTCTGCATGCCAAGGGCAGAAAAATGTCCGTTCTGGGACTAACAAGTCCCAGCCAGCACTTTGAAGCTGTCTGACTTTGCTGCTTTCCATACCTCCTCAAGAAACAGGGAAATCTTTTTCTGACCATGCTGCTGATGCATCCTTCAGAAGGACCTGCAGCATGGAGGACAGCATAGAGGAGTTTTTTACATGTATATGGTCGCTTCCAGCTCCTTTAAGGCTCCTCTTGTCTTGATACCACCACATGAGAGGGCTAGTGTAACCAAGCTAAACCTGGTGTCGAGCTTGCTAGCAGGGTGGAGTCCTGGGAGAAATAAGGTCGTACAGCACCATGCACGATACTCTCTGCATAGCTTGTCCACTCATCTGTTAGCTAAGGCCTTACTTCCTATGCTTTGTGCAGTAGCAAGGTTTTATTTTCATTTCCATGCAGAAGATGCTAGAGACAGCCCCAAAACAGGGTTCATTTGACACCCAACACAGCAAAAAGGCTGTTTTTGTTTGACATCTGCTAGCTGAAGAAGGCACAAGCAACTTGTGATTATAAATTTGTTTTTCTGTTGTATCTTCACTACCCATAGGTATGTGGAGTTCAACTTGGTTTATGACAGAGGTACAAAGTTTGGCCTCCTAACACCAGGATCAAGGATTGAAAGCATTCTTATGTCTCTGCCACTGACTGCAAGGTAAGGGCATAGCTGTGTATGGAGTTGCAGGTAGGCATTGTTCTCACTGAAATACTTTGAAGGATTAAATCAAAGGTCTGTTGTGATGTCCAGTCTCTTAACAGTGGTTAGTTCATGCCTGATACAAGAATAGCCAATTACATACAGATGCTTCTCTGCTCTGCTACACTCACCCATTTTCTGCTAATGTGTGGCCTGAATATCTTCTGACAAAAAAAAAGGTCATTTTAAACGTTTAGTACCCATAGAGGGAATAGGAAAATCTTTCAACAGGTATTTATTTAGTAGCTCTTTGAAACCGTGTGAAATTCTGGCAATACCTTACAAGCCTGTGGCAAGGAGTTCCATGGTTTGTGCACTGTATGAAAAAGAGCTTTGTTTTCTACTTGCACCTGATGGCTTCATTTGACTTCTCAGTGAATAAACAGATTTTCTTCCAAGAAAAAATCTGTTTTTCTTCACAACAGTTCTTATTTCACAGACTTATATTGTTCATTGTCTGTTTTCCAGGCTGACAAGTGTTCCTCTTCTTAGTCTTTGTACAGCAGCTGTTCCACACCTTTCAACGCATTTACCACTTCAGGCTTAAGTTTTCTTTGTCCCGGCTGATCTGGGAATAAGGCTCAGACAACAGAAGCTACATACGTATATTTAAGATGCAGGTGTGCTGCTGACTCATACGGTGGCATAATGTTGTCTTTATTCATTACTCTTTTCATAATCCTAATATGCTATTTGCTGATTTGGAGCAGGCTTTTTCATAGAACTGTTACAATGCCAAGATCTTGTCTGGGCAACAGAAGTTAAATGAGTCTCTCAATGTGTGGGTAACTTTTCCTCTCTGTGCACTACTTTAGATTAATCAACACTGAATTACACCTACCACGTTATTGTTCAGTTGTTTGGCTTGATGTTAGTGTTTTTCAACTACCTTTTTGTTTTAAATTATCTCACTTAATCTCATAGCATCAACTAACTCTGTCATTTACTATTTACTTCCCTTTTTAGGTTGACTTTAGATATGCTGATTGCACAAATTCGTATCATGAATTTAGTGACCTCCTTCCCCTAGCAATGCTAGCTGTCGCTTGCTACCCTTTAACTGTGAGAGCTGTCCTATTCTCACCCTACTGCCAACACCAGATGTGTCCCCAACCTGCTGTTGTATCACAGTCCTACCTCTTGATTTCATGGCTGCAATGGTCTGATTTTGCTTGTTTTCACCAGCATAAATAGCTCACTTCGCAGCATGAAGGGGTCCTTCCTAGAGGGGAAGGAAATGGAAACAGGTTGTACCCATCACTTTATGACTGCTGACACTTTTCTTCCTGCCATGCCTTTTTTAGTTGACTTTTCAGTAAAAGGTGGTCTCTCACCACCTTGGTTTTTAAGCCCAGGATTCAGCAAGGACTGGTAGTGCTTCCAGTCCAGCTTCTAGAAGAACTTGCCATCATGGACAGCTGAAAACATTGCCTCAGGGTCAAGTGAAAGAATATGAAGCTGGCAATTTCCCTCAGGCCTCATGTCCTCACTGTCTTTTGTTGGGGTTTCTTTTTGACCTATTGTCTCATGATACAAGTGTGGCATGAGACTGTTAAAACAGTTTGGAGATAAACCTGCATGTAGGAGGCATTTCTTGTTTTTTGGTTATTTTTTTCCTGTCTTTTCAGAAGGTGGAAAAAAAAAGACTAAGCTAACATTTCTGCTGTATCTTTGCATTACCTGTCTTTAATGAACTTAATGATTTATATGTCATGTGATGTGAGACTATCAACTGTGCATGTAGCACCCTCAGAAAAGGCAGCTGGGCAGTCTGAGTGCATTTCCCCTCTCCCTGCAGGTGGGAATACATGCACACCCCTCCGGAGAGCTCAAGGGAAGCAGAAATCCTGGAGGTTCTCCGCAATCCCAAGGACTGGGTGCACTGACGTGGATTGTGAAGAAGATGGATTGCTTATACTGAGCCATTATGAAAGAACAAGAATGCCTGCGAATCAGCTCATTTGAAGTGCTGCTGCATGGCATTTTAGTATACCTATTTATACTCTTAAATGGTGCCTTAATGATGTTGTAGACTTGTTGTAACTTGCAAATATATAAACTCATAATTTAAGTGTGATCAGCTGATGTCATCTGCTGTTGATGTTGCCTTGTGAAGGACCGGTGATACCCTCCCAGGGCTAGCGTGCATGTTTAGGAACTTCCTCAACAGATTTGTTTGACTGCAAAATGTTAAACTACTATGAAATGTTCCCCCAGTGGAATGAAAGCATTATGTATGCCTACACGGCACAGCTCACTATAGGATAATATTGGGATGATTCTAGAAATACTTTTTTAAAGGAATAAATTTAAAATAATAAAGAATAATATTTGTTATGATTTTAAACCTGAATGTCTGCCTTCTTCACCTTGTGAAAAAGATGTGTATTTTGACACTGTTTTTTTGGGGGGGGGGGGGGAGCAAGTGTTGTGAGATGTGCCTCTGTGCCTTTGACTTGACTGACCAGTGAATGAGGGATTCTGGGTTGGGGTCCTGGTTGTGCCTGGTGTGGGGTGAGAGCTGGCTGTCTGCTTTAAGGAGAAGCTGTCCAATGCTTCTCTCCTTAACTCTCAGCAGTGATCAGCTGCAACAGCGCCTCCCCTCTGCCTCTTGTCAGGGTGGGCTGGGACAGGCCAGGAAGCTGCTGAGTGCTGCCCTGGGCTTCCCCTACAATACCCAGGCTGCTCTGATCGCCCTCCCACGGGCACGAACCGTTTTGGGGACGCAGAAAGAAAAAGGCGATCGCCGTCTCCCCGTCGGGGAATCGAACCCCGGTCTCCCGCGTGACAGGCGGGGATACTCACCACTATACTAACGAGGAGCGAGCTGCGGGAGCTGTCGCCCGCACAGCCCCCCAAAAAGGGTCCGGAGCGTCCCGGTGTGTGGGGCTGGAGGGAGACTGTGGGGTAGATCCCCTCCCCAGCAGGGTAGACCACGTATACAATCAAGACACAGTTCAAAAAATAGTCAAGAAATACCTTTGTTTCAGCAGAAAGAAGTTGTTGAGGAGGACATCAACAAATCCAAGCCATTCATCAACCAGCAATGTGAGTTCCTCACATATTTCCTCCTTTGCCATTTCACTTGCCACTGATACCACCTACCCTGAAACGCTATAATAAATATAATACATTTAGGAAGCAATAAATAAATAGACAGACAAATAATTAAACGGCGACTGCACATAGAAAGTATACCACTGTGTGGTGATAATGCAAGAGCTTTCTTAAAACCAAGCAACATTTAACATGGATTATCCAACACTTGCCACAACAAAACAAACAAACAAACAAACAAAAACGATGACAAAAACACAAAGAAACCAACATGGTGGCAAAGTTGCCTCTTGGTGAATGCCTGGCACAAAGAGACTGCCATGGAGCCAGTGTGAGAAAACCTGGAGTTAGAAAGCAACAGGACGGGAAATATCTGATGCAAAAAATGAGCAGAAAGAGACAGGCACACATTACAGAGAAACAGAAACTCCCACAATAAAAGTTTCTAAGTTTAAAAAGTATATTTTATCAGTAAGATAACTGGGGCTTAAACAAAAGTTGAGAGGCGTCCACAAAAAATGTTGAATTAATGAACAGCACATGAATGGCACAAAGGCACAGCCCTAAGAACAACAAACCTAATATCCTCCAAATTCTGTAGGTTTTTTTTTTGCATTTCTTGCCCCTCAGGATAATTGCCACCTCACTAACACAGACCAAGACCTCCAAAACTGTGGGTTTTGGCCCATCAGAGACCAGAGTCCTCAGGAAGCAGATCAAAAGAGTCTGGGAAACTAAAGCAAACCAACCATCCCAGTGACGGATGGCAAATGCCTGTCATAGCAAAATGTGGATTTTATACTTCAAAATACTTCAGTCTCACTGGCTCACACCACCTCACAAACATACATGTAAAGGATTTTGTTAAAATTTTGAGATAAAGAAACAGTATAACAAAAAACACTAGTCAGCAAAGAGCAAAACTCTAAGGTCTACTTTATGTTTGTTGGAGTATGTAGCACTGCTGCACCAGTATGCGTGATGCTGTCCGAAAACAAGAACAGACTAAATTTTAGCATCTAGCTAGTACATGTCAATCTTAAACCTTTCATGTAAAATAAAATCTTTGGTAATATGGACACACACGTATGCTTTTGATGTTTCCATGACTTATCTCTAATTATGACACTTCTCAGATCACATCCACATATCTATTTTTTGTACTTCAGTTTAGCCAAGAACACTTCTACCAGATACTTATGATTTTGCAAGCTTTGGTGTCCTAAAATTGTCCAT